GAAGACGTCGAGCCCTCCAAGTTGGAATTTGAAGACGCCGAGACCTCCATATTAGAATGCAAATTGTTTTGAAGACGCCGAGAGACCTCCATTTCACTTAAAGTTGAAGACGCCGAGTGATCTTTGGATGAAGACATCGAAAAACCCTAAACCCACATAACCCTAATGACGCCGAGAGATTCAAGCATTTGCATGTCGTCTGTAACAAACACCCCATTTGGGTAAATAATAGCATGCGTGGATTATTTTGGGAATATAAGTTTCCCACAAGCATTATCTCGGCAGTTTTGCCAATGATATACATAATAACAGTTTAAATATCACATTAAATATTTTAAAAGTATATTATTACATTAAACATTTTATCAAATTAAAAAAATAATATTATCTCAAGTTTATAATATATATGTATTTAAAAACTACCAAAATATCTTCGGTGCATGATATATTATTCCTAAGTATCACTTTAAATTTTTTTGTGACTTGTCACCTGTCTAAATCTTTCAATTTAATTAATAACTCTTAACATTTATATATTTTTTGTTTAACTATTATTCTTTTTGAATAAAATTTGACTCCAAGCCTCTCACAAACAGTGTAATTAGACATTTGGTTGTTTTTTTTGAAAAAAAAGTTAAACATTTATTCTTTTCATGAACATAGTGATTCCGACATTCATTTTTTAAGATAAAATATATAAATGGTCCCCGATTATAGAGTTTTATTTTATTGAGTCATCTTATTGTTAAAAGTTACAAAATAGTTCTCTGACTATATGATGTTACTTTGTTATGTCCTCCGACTATTAAAAGTTACAAAATGGTCACTCGACTATTCATTTGTTCCAAACATGTCCTTTTTCGTTAAAAAATTGCATGTCGTTTGAGATGGACGTTAACTTGTTGTTTGATATATGATAAAATATAATCCCATAATTATTTTAGTTATATTTTCTAGATCAAATATTTGTTTACCTTATGTCGTTGAGCTAGTGCTTGAAACATTATCCTGGTGAGTTAGTGCTTGAAAGCAATGGCGGTGCCAATAAACACCATTAATATATAATTTTGTCATATCTCAATTAGCATGTTAATGTCTATCTCAGACGTGCTTCAATTTTTTAATGAAAAAGGATAATTTAGGAAATATATGAATAGTAGAGTGATCATTTTGTAACTTTTAATAGTTGAGGGACTCAACAAAATAACATCTTATAGTCAATGGACCATTTTGTAACTTTTAATAGTTAGGGGACTAAACAAAGCAACATCATATAATTAGGAGACCATTTGTATAATTTACCCAAAATTTTAATTGTATTGATATGATAATATGTACGATAGTGAATACGTACTTCATATTATTTTTATATTATGTATTAGTTTGAAACAAAAAATAAAAAATATTATGTCATCCCCTCACGTAGTACATATAAACTATTATGCGAACTGTGATATCAATATTGTTAAAATTTAATATATTAATCAATATTTTTATTTTAAAGTATGATTAATATTTTTAATTAAAAGAATAAAGATTAAATTTATTAATATATCTGTCTTTTACATCAACGTACACAAAGATACACGTCTTGACTCCATTTGCGCTTTTAAACTGTTGGCTGTTGAGCATCTATACATCAAATGATATCCGAAATCTTATAATTTGTTATTCGTTTATTATGATAACGAAATAAAATTCTTAGCTTCTTTTATATATATTCACATATATAAATCTTTTGTAAAGAGTAGAGCCTCACCCTTACTAATAAAGACTCTTGTAGTTGTTAAATCTAAATATTAAAATTTAATATTATTGAAAATGACAATTCAAATATTGAACATAAGCTTAAAAAAATCCCATCTCTTATGGTTCAACGCACTGATATTTTACTTTCTCCTTTTTTTTCAGTTTTATGTTGCGTTCCGATGTTAATAAAATGTCATATTTTTCATTTTCTAAACCACGCCACCTACGGTTACATGATATATATTCAGATTAATATTATAAAGGAATCAAATATTACAAAAATGTCACGTGCCATGACCCTAAATCCAGCGGCTCCGGGTTCGCAGTTTGACCGACCAGTTGCTCAGTTTTGAAACGCCTCCTCTCTTTTCAGTGGTAAGGCGCCGGTAAAGAACATTGTCTAAGAGAAAGAGTTTGGGATTTTGGACATATCTGTTGAACCAAAACTTCACACAGATATGTATTACCAGCTACCAATGTTTTCTAGTTTTTGTTTCATGGAATCTGATGTCATGTTTAATCAAATGGTGTTATCAATGTACGCATATATATCATATAATATATATATATGTAGCAAAGTACTAATTTGGTAGCAACCCAATCCTGATCTGCTGCATAAAGCAAATTGCATTATCAAACTTTTACAGATGATGGAACAGTTATATGTCACCATAAAACTGGGCACCCCATTTATATTCCATTTTTCTCTTTTATTTAGCTCTGATTAGATCTGGAAACCCTATTCATTTCCTCAGAATTCTATTCCAGATAATGCTATGTTGTGTTGTGTCCAACGAGTTACCAAGTTTTCGATATCGCAAAACGTTTTACAGACGGACCTGCCCGATTCTTCGGTTTCAGGGGAATCAAGCTGCTTTTCAACCTTTTCCTAGGACCTTTATTACACTTTCTTTTGCATTATGTTGCCTAATGAATTACTTTATCAATATATATATTTATTGGAACTCACGGATTTTATTAATAGAGTGCAATTATGGGACGAGTTCACCTATAGCGTCCACTTGAATTTTTAAGCTTGAAAGATTATCTAAACTTATAATTGTGTCATCATTAAACGAACTCTATTCTCACTAGAATCAAATATTACAACCTTGCATATAATTTTATAAAAATGGACTTCACTACAATGAGAGTCTAATTCAATAAAATTTCGACTCCTATCATAATTAATTTCTTATATATAAAATTATATGTCAGATTACAAATGAATTTAATTTTGATAAGAGTTTAATTTACATAATGAGGATATGAATACATGTTTGCAGTCATTTTCCAGACACAAAAGTCCACACCAACTTTATAATTGAAGAACTTGACTCTTATTGTAATCGAGTTTGTCCTAAAAAAAAAACGAGACTTGTTTTAGAGACTAATCTGATTTTTGGACTATATTGAGAAATGATGTATTTTTGAGTGGCTCTTTCTGGGAAAACACCAATAAAAACTATAGATGGAAAAGCAACCAATAGCTAAGTGACACCTGTGTATAAGTAATATTTGAACTAAGGAATAACACATTTTAGTTACCCCTTAAAATCTCAATTTCTTTGGTCATTTGACCTTCGGTATCTCTGTCTACATTGAAAAATGAAAACAAAACAAAGGAGCATAAAAAGTATCGAATTAAGAAATATAATCAGTAATTAATAATAATTATCTCATAATAAATAATTAAGTAGTATTTACAAGATAAAATAATTTTAGTGACCGAAAATATCTTATAATATACGATTTTAATCAATTTTTTTTGGATTTGCGAAAATAACCAACAAATTTGCAACGCGAACTTCAGTTTCGCAACACAGTTTTCAAATTCGCAACGCTAATTATAGATATAGGTAAACACACCTCAGTTTTCAAATTGTCGAATTCGGATTTTTACCGGATTTTTTCTACCGAGTTTACCTATATCTGTAATTTAGTTGCAAAATTTGCGAATTCGAGTTGCGAAATTGGCGAATTCGAATCGCGAAATTGGTGAATTTGAGTCGTGAAATTTGCGTTGCGAATTTAAAAACTGAGTTGCGAATAATTGTGTTTACCTATATCAATAATTAGCGTTGCGAAAACGAAATTTGCGTTGCGATTTTGAAGAATCACGTTGCGAAATTAAAAACTGCGTTGCGAATTTAAAAACCGCATTACGAATTTGAAAACCGCATTACGAATTTAAAAATTTAAAAACCGCGTTGCGAATTTAAAAACCGGTGGTTATTTGTCATTCAACCAAATCAATCATACTGTTTACTTCAACCACAAAAATCTATTAATATTCCGTAAATAAATTAAATATTTAGTATATTCATAAATATTAAATATCACATATGATTATATTATATTTTTAATTTCAAAATGTTAAGTTCATTATTATAAGATTTTATGCTCAATTATATATATCATTAAAAATAAAATATATTTATTATATAAAAAGAAGGAATATAATTTAGCAGTACCAGTAATCTAGTATATGAGGATCTCGATAGGAGATCCCAGAACCGGCCTCCTCTCCTATATTTATTTTTTTAAAGCCCCAACCCCTAGCTTTTGCTTTAACAATTTGCACTCCTTTCACCATCACATACATCAACTCATTTTCTTCCACCGGAATCTCAATTCCTGGCTCCGGCATCCTATCGCCGGAACATGACACCCGGTCTCTCTCTTTCAAACAATTATTCAAACCATATATATTTCTTCAGCAATCACTTATATATATATATATATATATATATATATATATATATATATATATATAATAAAACCTGCTGCTTGGAAAAGCACTGAAAGCCATTGCCTTTGCCTCTCGCTTATCTTTGCTTTATCAGTATATCAGAGTATGGAATCTCACACAATTAATTGATTTCTTTTTTGGTTTTGGTTATTTTTTAATTAGTTAAAGTTTAAGCGTTAGCTTTTTCGCGTGTTGATTTTAGTATTCAAAGCTCATTTCTCTTTTGCTGTAATTTAAGTATAAAAAAAGCTTATCAGTTTTTATCAGTCGCACGCTTTCATGTTCTATAAGTTGTAAACTATAAAAAAATAAAATAAAATAAAGCTTGAAAAGCTCAATGAATCTATCTCACAAAGTTATTTCCCACACTCTTTCTCTTTTAAAGTTCCTTTTCTTAAAGGTGGTGAGTGTTCGTTGATGGAAGTAAAGCGGATAATCATTATAAAAATGGTACTACGACTGATAATAATAATAATAAGTTATCCTTTAGGAGAAGAACCATTTCTGGTTTCCCTAAAGTACTCGACTCCCCATGATCTTTATTCATACATCTTGCTTTGGGTTTCCGAGTATATTCATGCAACTTCGTTTTCCAACAAAGACATTCTTTCTTTTTCAGCAGCAGTTTTAAATTTCATCATTTGCAGAAAGAACAAAAATAATACAACCATCTTCCCCTTTCTTGGAGTTTTTATCCTTCAAGGTTTCAAGCTTCAACTAGGTTAGGATTTTTCTTGTGAATTTAAGATAGAGGTTTGTTATCTGCAATGGGTTTCAAGTTTTCAATTTTCTCTCTTTATTGTTATTATTTTATGATTTTGGTTCATCAACAACGCACATTAATGATCATTTATCTCTTTCTTTTGACAGCTTGCTTGTGTTGTTCAATAATGTCCATATATATGCAGTTTTGCTTTAATATCATGCAGGAAATCTCTCTTTTTCCATTTATTTTATTTTTTATAGGTGATCAGTTCACTTACCTAATATGCTCACAAAATCCCTACAAGAACTTACCCCACCACCAACGCCCATCAGTCCGGATTCCCAATTGTCACATTTCATCGGCTTACCCCAAATCTCTATCTTTCAGGAAATCTCTCTTTTTCCATTTATTTTATTTTTTATAGGTGATCAGTTCACTTACCTAATATGCTCACAAAATCCCTACAAGAACTTACCCCACCACCAACGCCCATCAGTCCGGATTCCAATTGTCAACATTTCATCGGCTTACCCAAAATCTCTATCTTTCTGAATTTTGATATCTGAGCAAAGATTATAGTACTAACAAACCAACCAACCCAAACCAAACCAAAACCTGGTTTCTGTTCTTGTTTTTGCATATAGGCCAGCTATATATAGCCGCAGCAGCAGTTTTTGCACACATATATCTAAGCTGCAGGGGGGGGGGCAATGCAGCTACTGTTGTGATCTTTGCTTTATTTATGTCCCCATTAAATGAACAAGCACTTTAAAATGTGTATATATTCTTAAATTGCAGAGTATGGAAGCTGGAAATCCTGGTTGTTGAGAAAGCTGATGAAGAAATAACCGCATTTATTGTTAACGTGGTGTTTCTATAAAGGAAACGTAAAAGCAAAAGGTTCGTTCCCAGATTCACAACCCTCTCTCTTTAAACTTTCTCTTTTATCTAAAACTATGCATTATCCGTGCCATTTAAGACTAATCTGACACACATTTCCCTCTAGGTTAAGGGTAAGCGAGAAAGGCTACTTAGGTTCAAACTATCTTTTAAACCCATTACACACATAAATCGACTAAATTGGTACACGAGTTATAAAGCTTGGTAATTTCTACATATTATTCTTAAATTTGTTTTTTTTATATAAAAGACGTCCTAAACCATCTTAATGATGTGACACCCTACACACATCATTATTCGAATTCAATTTATTGACATAAAATTAGAAATTTTTTATTATCAGAACTCAATAATTAATAGTAATGTTATGAATATAAATTTGAATATTATTATTAATAATAATAATAAACCTTCAATATAATAAATAAATAGATTTTAAATTTTGAAATACAGAATAAAGGGTTCTTTAGTGGGTTGTGACGGTGATGAGTATCTTTTGAGTATTTTGTCTTTTGGTTTTTAATCTTTATCTCTTCTTATCAATTTGTTGGCATTTCCATGTCTTGAAATCGACCATATTGGCCATACCTCATGTCAACATAGATCCCATATCAAATCAGAAACAAAAATGCTTTAGATTAATATTTTTAATTATTAAACATATATCTTTTATTTTAAACAAAAAAAAAATTAAGAACCAAACATAAACTTTAACTAGGATTCTTTTTACAAATGAAAATTTGAAACTCATTCCTCAATATAACACTAAGGTGATGTTTGGTTGGATGGAATCCCTTGGAATTGGAATCCAATTTCACCACTTTCCCATGTTTGGTTCAAGTTTTTCAAGGGAATTGGAATCCCTGATGGAATTCAATTTCATCAAATGAGGGAATTGAAATTTGACTATACTACTCTCATCAATCATTTGGTAACTTATTCATATATTGAATAAAAATATTTTTTTATTATTTCGGGTCGGGTCGGGTTTCTAATTCATATATTCGGGTCGGGTCGGGTCGGGTGAAACTTTATTTTGGTCGGGTCGGATCGGGTTTTTTTAAGTGTGATATTCGGCTCGGGTCGGGTTCGGGTTTAGGGTGAAAAAAATCAGACCGACCTGAAAATATATATAATTCAGGTCGGGTCGGATTAATTCACTGTTTTTATTAAATAAAAATAATTTTTTATTATTTCGGGTCGGATTTCTAATACATATATTCGGGTCGGGTCGGATGAAACTTTTTTTTGTTCGGGTCGGGTCGGGTTCGGGTTTAGGGTGAAAAAAATCGGACCAACCTGAAAATTAATATAATTCCGGTCGGGTCGGATTAAGTCACTGTTTTTATTAAATAAAAATAATTTTTTATTATTTCGGGTCGGGTCGAATTTCTAATTCATATATTCGGGTCGGGTCGGATGAAACTTTATTTTGTTCGGGTCGGGTTTTTTAAGTGTGATATTTGGGTCGGGTTTTTTTAAGTGTGATATTCGGGTCGGATTGGGTCGGATCGGATTAAGTCATTGTTTTTATTAAATAAAAATATTTTTTTATTATTTCTGGTCGGGTCGGATGAAACTTTATTTTGTTCGGGTCGGGTCGGGTCGGGTTTTTTAAGTGTGATATTCAAGTCGAGTCGGGTCAGGTTTTTTTAAGTGTGATATTCGGGTCAGGTTGGGTTCTGATTTATGGTGAAAAAAACCGGACCGACCCGAAAAAATATAAAATTTTACCTTATATATTTAGGAATAATTACAATAATACCCCTCTATATATAATTTTTTTCAATTAAGTTAATGTTTTTATTAAATAAAAATAATTTTTTTTATTATTTTGAGTCATGTCGGGTCGAGTTTCTAATTCATATATTAAATAAAAATAGTTTTTGGTATATTTTTTGGTAACTAATTAACATACTCCGATTGGAATGTATCGAAATATTACTCTATCTTTTGGTAACTTATTAACATATTTTGATTGCGATGATTTTAACTTATAATGTTTATTAGCATGATTTTTATAATTTATTGAAATGAATAATCAATCAATAAAATGAAAATTTAATATTTTTTAATTTTTTATAATATATTACTACATGTAAGTTGTAAAATAAACTAAAATAAAGTAAAAAAATAAGAAGGACAATTCTGTCATTTTACATTACTTAAATCAAATTCATCTGACATGTCTGCGAACCAAACAGAATATGAAATTGTATTCCAATTCCTGCCAACCAAACAGAATATGGAATTAGATTCTAATTCCTACATATTACAATTCCCTCATAAACATTACATCAAATCAAACATCACCTAAAGTGTCTGTCTATAAGAAAAGAAAAGTAAAAAACCACATCGAGTCTTAAAATCCAAAAATATATACCAGGTGTGAATGCAAAGGAACATTTGTGTATAATTTTGTTTTGCCATAATGGGCCATTTGATTTGAGCCCAAGTCTAATCAAATACCTAACTGGGGAGGTCGGACCAGTTCCGTCATCCACTAAATTTGAAAGGGACATATCATTTGATTGTTCTTCATGTCCTGTAATAATCCCATGGTTGGTAAGTATTGAAATTTACCCTCTTCGTCCTCTTTTTCTAAGCTTAAAAAAGGACCCCTTTCCTGCAATGGCCCCCCTCTTTCTTTAAAACGGTACCAGCTGACAAATTGCAGCTAAACGTATCCCAATGCATAAGTGGAAAAAGACAGATTTCAGAACAATACAATGTGTCCGGTTATTAAACAACAACGAAATCTACTTAAGTGTAAAGTAAAATCCTTCTGCAAGAGTTTTTATCAATATCTCCCAGTTATTTTTAAGCCTTAAGTTGATTGATGGTACTAAATGTTTGATGTTTATCACATTTGAGGCGCTGATTTTCCTATCTGTTGTGTTGTCTCGTACTGTGTTTGCGACTCTGTTGCCGCTGTTGAAATGACTGTGTGGGTTGTCGAGTGCTTTAATGTTTAGTCACTGTTGGGTATGCTTTGGGATGAGTTAAAGTTCCTTTATGCCTCCCCCCTTTGAAAGGAAAAAAAAAGTAGCGTATAACATGCTAGATTATAAGCTGTCCTGCAAAGAAGTTGGAGAAAAAATGCAGCCTTCAACGGCACTGCTGCTAATGGACCCAAGGCGCCACAGCTACAGGCTTTCAATGTGGCTATCTATGGATATATGTTAAACATGTGGTGGTCCATCTTCCTCACTCAACTTTGTTCCAAAAATCTTCTCTCTTTTTTTCTTTCCCTCGAGAGTTGACTCCTTGGGAGGGAAGAAATGAGAAATTATACACAAGAAATTAACTTTGGGTTCATAGATGCATGGTACATATATGATTAAATGTTTTTGCATGAACTTTATGAATAGACAAATGGGGTGTTTTTTAATTTCTTTCTTCACTTATGCAATTCTTTGTTTCTTTTGTTGACGATTTCTGAATCTTTGTGCCGTGGATTCTTGCTTTTATGCATGTTTGCATGTCTTTTTCGGTCATTGTATTCAAGAGAATATACAGAGAGAGCTATATAGACTAGTCGATATTTGATGCCTATATACATATCCTCTCTTTCTTTTCTTTTTAATTTGCTGCAACCGTTGCACTGCTTCGTGTGCGTGTGTTTTTCCAGTTGTTTGCACTGGTTTCTAAAAACAAATCCCTCGTAGTAAGATTCTTGCAGAAAACGTGTACAATGTTATGTCATTACCTTTCAAATTTAGTCTTTTTAGCTATCACTTTGTGATCTCTCTCTCGTCCTTTTGTGCATCAATCCCTCTCTTTTTTCCCGATCTTTTTTCTCTCACTTTTAGTGCTCTCATTGAGATATAACATTTTACTTTTATATCAACAAATTGGTGAATATTTGTTTGGTCTTATAGAAATGCCTCACATGCAAATGAGAGACCTCAAGGAGAACTATGTTGTGTCAAGGGAACCCGTAAAGGGTTCCATGAATCAGAAGAAATCACCCCAAATGATCATCAAAAGCGGGGAAAGATTTGAAGATGGTAAGAATAGTTCTGGAAGGAGAAATGGAAGGAGAAGAGGCCGAGGGTGTAAAGTAGATAGGTTACAAGATGGGAAGCTTGAGCCAAGCACGGGTTCTACTCCATGCAAGAGCCTTATGCTCTATAGAAGACCTGGCTATGGTCAGTTGGGAACCAAGTGTATCGTTAAAGCCAACCATTTTCTTGCTGAGATACCAGGATCTGACTTGAGTCATTATAGAGTAAGTAAAATATAAACTAGGTTGAATTTGAAATGCTGAGACTGAAATGTGATCATTATAATTGTGTAATTCTTTGAAACAGGTAGAAATAAACCCAGAAGTTGCTTCTCGTAAACTGGACAAGGCTATCCTTACAGAGCTGGTTAAACTTTATAGAAACAGTGACTTGGGGATGAAGCTTCCTGTTTATGATGGAAGGAAAAACCTATATACTGCTGGATCACTGCCTTTTACCTCTAAGGTGTTCACTGTAATATTGACTGAGGAAAATGAAGAAACAGGCGGTGTTAGGTAATTCATTCATGAAAACTGTTTCCAATTATCCTTTTCAAACTACTAAGAATTTTGATGCAAATATGGCTATTTAATCAGGAAAAGAGAATTTAAAGTGACTATAAAGTTTGTAGCTGTCGCTAGTATGTCACAATTGCGCAACCTTCTATCTGGGAAACAAGTTGACACCCCTCAAGGAGCCCTTAACATTATTGATACTGTGTTAAGGGAACTCGCGGCTCAAAGGTAGCAATCTTATTTGTTTTAACCTGTGTTCAGTTTCACTCATGCCATTGGCAGCAGATTCTAACTTCTCAGTACTCTTTAATTAATTCGATTAGTGCAGGTACTTATCAGTTGGAAGGTTCCTTTATTCTCCTAATATAAAGAAACCACAAGCATTGGGTGGTGGCGTTGAATCATGGCGTGGCTTCTACCAGAGTATAAGGCCTACACAGATGGGATTGTCACTGAATATTGGTAACAACCACCTTCTAGACATTTTCATTTGATTGAGTCGTTGCTTTATCAGCCGGTTTTTACACTAATATCTGATTTTGTGTTAGATATGTCTACAATTGCCTTCATAGAACCACTACCTGTAATTGATTTTGTTGCTCAAATTTTGGGTAAAGATGTTTATTCAAGGCCAATGTCAGATGCAGATCGTGTCAAGGTATTTCATAATGTGTGACTCTTGGTGGCCCTCTATTTGAAATGCATATATATTATCACAAGTGGCATTCTTGGAAAATCCTACATATGTTCTGTATCTTCCACATTGAAACACCGTAGTATTCATAACACAGATTGCAATATTTGATGACCTGAAAAATCTGGGTTTTCTAATCTGGTTTCTGTTATTGCTTACGACAAGAAAAAAACATAATGGCAAATACTGATGATTGCTGCAGCAACATTTCCTTGTTTCGTCTTACTTTAGGGACAACAGTTTGGTACTTTGAAACTGCATTAACGTGACGTAAGTTTAAATTAATCCTTTGCTAAGACTTGCAAATTTATCTTTTCGGCCATGCCCTATAGGTTAAGAAAGCACTTAGAGGCGTAAAAGTGGAAGTGACTCACAGAGGAAATGTACGCAGAAAATACCGAGTTTCGGGGTTAACAACTCAGCCGACAAGGGAGCTAATGTGTGTCTAATATATATATTTCTTGAACTTGATCTCCTATTTCTTAGATTTGAAAGGTTGTCTTTGCATCTTCCAGACTTTTTCCTGAAATTAACTTTTATGTTTTTCATTCATCAGTTTCCCACTTGATGAGCACATGAACATGAAGTCAGTTGTCGAGTACTTTCAAGAGATGTATGGGTATACCATTAGATATGCACACTTACCTTGTCTTCAAGTGGGAAATGAGAAGAAGGTGAATTATTTGCCTATGGAGGTGCGTACAGCCCAATTCTCATTAAGATTTGCATGAAGCATTTAGAGTTCCATCCTATCTAATATATATATATATATATATATATGATATCCCAGGCTTGCAAGATAGTTGAAGGACAGAGATACACTAAAGGGCTGAATGAGAAACAGATTACTTCTCTGCTGAAAGTTTCTTGCCAAAGACCACACGAACAAGAATTGGACATCTTACAGGTCCTAAACACAGCTCCTTGGAGTATTTTCTGTCTTGTTCATAGAAACGGATGCATATGAAACTGATACGATGTAAAAGCTGTCATTAGTTTTATTGTTTGGAAATCACGGGTCTATGTCAGTATAACAACCATCCTTCCTTTGTTGTTTCGTTACATTCAACAAGACATATTGGATGATAATCCTTTAAACCACCTTGGAAAGTGCATGTGTTCTTTAGCTGAGGGACGGAATTGGTCTGACTGTTATTTAGTGTCTTTACAGACAGTTCAACAGAATGATTATGAACATGATCCTTATGCAAAAGAGTTTGGCATCAATATAAGCAGCAAGCTTGCATCAATCGAGGCTCGAGTTCTTCCTGCTCCATGGGTAATGTTGAAATCACTCTAGTCATTTTTCTCCCTTTTGTACAGTCACTGTCAATTCTTTACATGATCTATTCAATTCAGCTTTTCACTATTTAAAATCTTCTACCTTTTATCTTCTTTTCTTTTAAAGCTGAAGTATAGTGACACTGGAAAAGAAAAAGAATATTTGCCCCAAGTTGGTCAGTGGAATATGATGAACAAGGTTGGTCTATATAAAGGGGTGAAAGTTACCTAGACTTTCACCAGAAATGGCATCACTGTATATCAACTGCATGTTACTTCTATCTAAAGAAAGACAATTCTTTGTTGGCTTGCCGCAGAAAGTGATAAATGGAAGCACTGTAAGATACTGGGCTTGTATCAACTTCTCACGAAGTGTTCAAGAGAGCACCGCACATGGTTTTTGTCAGGAGTTAGTTCAGATGTGCCAAATATCTGGCATGGTGAATATTCCTAACCTTTGTTTCACTAAACTCAGTTCTTTAATTCATCTCTCGAACTACTTCGAATGGACACCCTTCAGTGCTTGAATACTTGATAAATTTGGTTATTAAATACAGGAATTTGATCGAGACCCTGTAATTCCTATATATTCAGCAAGACCCGATCAAGTTAAGAAGGCATTGAAATATGTATATCATGCTGCTGCAAACAAACTTGAAAGAAAAGAAATGGAATTACTCATTGCCATTCTTCCGGACAACAATGGTTCCTTATATGGTATGCCCCTTCTTGCAACCATATAATCTGTTTGAATAAAAATAATAATAAAGAAAAAAGAATTCGTGCATATGAAAGTAGAGAATTAACATTTGAGCATCAAGTTTTGCACACCAGTCTCAAGCATTAATTCATTCACTCGGTTTAAACCGAAGCCCTCTCGGCTCCAGCTGTTGAGAGGAGACATGCAGCTTTTGTCTATACTATGAACGATTTGTTCTGCATTCAGGTGATCTTAAACGAATTTGTGAAACTGATCTGGGTTTGATTTCTCAATGCTGCCTCACAAAGCATGTCTTCAAGATTAGCAGACAGTACTTGGCAAATCTGTCACTTAAAATAAACGTCAAGGTCTGTTATAAATTATGATCTTTTGTCTTGATTAAACATGACATTTATACCGTTTTTCATTATTTTTAAGATGGGAGGAAGAAATACTGTGCTCTTAGATGCTTTAAGTTGGAGAATTCCTTTGGTTAGTGACATTCCAACGATAATATTTGGAGCTGACGTAACTCATCCAGAGTCCGGAGAGGACTGTAATCCGTCGATAGCTGCTGTAAGTGAAATCCTTTATATTAAAAGCCGATAATATGTCTACTCCATAGCCTTAATGATTTCTGAAATACAGGTTGTGGCCTCACAAGACTGGCCAGAAGTGACAAAGTATGCTGGCCTGGTATGTGCTCAGCCTCATAGGCAAGAACTTATTCAAGATCTATTCAAGACTTGGCAGGATCCACAACGAGGAACAGTTGCTGGAGGCATGATCAGGTGTGTTCATTTAAGATTTTATCATCATGATCGGGTAGCTCATCGTTCATTCATTCATTTATTGTCCAATCTTATAATTGAAGTCCATAATTCAAAGTTCTAGCCAATTGGTCATCTTGGTCCTCTTCAACATGGTCGTATATGAACGAACTGCCTGCTAATTGTTCAGACAAGTGTTTCAAGTTCTGAACTATTTTGCTGCATTAACTCATTTTCATTGAGTTCAAATTATGGTTCCTTTTACAATTTTAAGGCTTTAGGTGTGTGTTGTGTATATGCATATTATATACAGGCTCATACCATATCCATGTTAAATATATGTCGGTCACGGATGTCTCATGAAATGAAGAGTCAAAGCACCATAATCTGCTGCACTTACTCGATCCCAAGAGAGAGAACTACTGCAAATATACTGAAGTAAATTTGTTAACTTCATTGGCAATGCAGGGAGCTCTTACTTGCATTTAAAAAGGCCACTGGACAAAAGCCACTGAGGATAATCTTTTACAGGTACACTCTAAAATGATTAGAAAATTTACAGTTATATCTTGATAAGCTTATTTACATTTTGATTGGATTCCAAAAACATTTGCTATTAGATTGCTGTTCAGACTTAAGTAATAGCTAAGCTTCAAGCTACTCTATTAGTTCAAGGTTTTTCTAATGTTGCTAAAAAAAATTGTGTAGAGATGGTGTGAGTGAAGGCCAATTCTACCAGGTTCTCCTATATGAACTCGATGCCATAAGAAAGGTTAGTCATACATAAAGACATTCGGTGCCGGTTTACCGCTTTTATCCTATAGGCTAATACTGTGTTAATGTCTAGGCCTGCGCATCACTGGAACCCAGTTACCAACCTCCAGTTACATTCATAGTGGTTCAGAAGAGGCATCATACTAGGTTGTTTGCCAACAATCACAATGACAGAAGCAGCACTGACAAGAGTGGAAATATATTACCTGGTAAATGCTTATGCTTCTTGTTCTTTCCCGGGTTCACGGTTTGCTTAATTAAAATGTTAAAGATGAATATATACTTGAAGTTTCCAAATGTAGGTACTGTGGTGGATTCCAAGATCTGTCATCCAACAGAGTTCGACTTCTATCTGTGTAGCCATGCCGGAATCCAGGTATGGAATTAGAAACTGGTAGTTTAGCATAAGATTTGTGGATTTTTGGTTGGCATGCTACTGCTAGTCTTCTAGAACTTCATGTCTTAATATGTTTTTAAATTGAAACTGGCAATCTACAGGGGACAAGTAGACCTGCTCATTATCATGTTCTCTGGGATGAGAATAACTTCACAGCGGATGAAATCCAGTCTCTAACGAACAACCTCTGTTACACGTAAGAATCTCAACTCGTTTTGACGCCATATCAGTCATCTTTGTTGCTATATTCACATTAATGGATTCACTTTATTGCAGGTATGCTCGGTGCACGCGGTCTGTTTCAGTAGGTAACTTCTAATCTGCAACTTGCATAACCTCATAGCATGCTTGAACACATTTGCATGGTTTTGTGACAAATTGATGGGGAACTTCATACATAACAAGAAATCATTTGAATTACTTTCTTTGGCTTGGGGAATTTGCTAAAATTTTGTAACAGCATAAAAAAAATATGTTTTCTTTTACATTATGCAGTGCCCCCGGCATATTATGCTCATCTAGCAGCCTACCGAGCTCGATTCTACATTGAACCCGAGGCATCTGAAAATGGTAAAGCACGAAGCACGCGCACAACCAATGGATCATCGGTTCGGCCTTTACCGGCCTTGAAAGAGAAGGTGAAGAACGTGATGTTTTACTGTTAGAACGGGAAGGGGATGGTTGAAGAAAGATACGTATATGCTTGTTGTGTTCATAGTGTAAACATTTTAGTTTTGGAAAAAGCGCAACCAACAACTTGACTGTAGTAACTAGCGGATTAACAAAGGCTTCTAAAGCAAATGCCAGAATTCTATCTAAGACTTTTAGGATCTAAATGAATGGATGAATTACATTGCTGGTCAAAACACAGGCAAGTCTTTTCAATATGGTAATTAAAAAATTGACTGGTCTTCTTTTTACCTCATTTATACACAGCCTGTAGTGATTTAAGGAGATTTCCAATCTGAAAATCGACCGCATTTCATTTTACTGGTCTTGAGAAACTGGGACAACTGTTGAACAAATAATGGAGCTGTCTTGCAAATTAAATGTAAAAATCGACATTTTAACAAATTAGATAATTGATGGCAACTGATTTGAACTGAAAAAACTTCATTGTGCATGCCAAAAATATCACCACTACTGCTGTCCCCATCAATTCGTTTCCCAGATTCTCAACCCAAAAAACACTGGGGAAAAACAGTCACGTCACACTTGCAGTATATGTGTGTAAACCCTGCTAAGAAAATTTATGCAACAAAATAATTAAATTAATATCAACCTAAAACAAATCACAGTAGACGAAATTTGAGTGGTTTAACCGTGTTTAGTTTCAAGGATGATATGAAAAGAGTAATCAAAAAGTTCAAAATAGGAATTCATGGATAACATGAACTCAATATATTTTACAAATCCGGTGTTATATATATAACTTCCTCAACATCCCTATAAAACCAATAGCGATTGCATCTCTCATAGTTCTCTCATCTATGATAAAATATCTTTTTAGAGAGAAAATCGATAAAGTAGAAGAAAAATAAGATTTGTGATAAATGTTGATGTTATCGGGTGTACAATATTATTTCTGAATTTTAGGTTTACACACAACCATAAATATATATATATAGGGATGGGCGTTGGGTCGGGTTTTTTTGTTCACCCGACCCAACCCTAGAATAAGAGTCTCCATCCGAGACCCGACCCGACCCGAAATAATAAAAAATATTTTTATTGAATAAAAAAAGTGACTTAATTGAAAAAAATTATATATGGAGGGGTATTATTATAATTATCCCTAAATATATAGGGTAAAATTATATATTTTTTCCGGGTCGGGTCGAATTTTTTCACCCTAAACCCAAACCTATTTTTTTAAAGAAAAACCCGATCCGATCGGGTCGGAACCCATCAAGTTAGGGTCACATGTCCATCACTATATATATATATATATATATATATATGATTTTTAAGTTCATGTAAATGCATTTTGTATGATATTACGACATATTTAATCTTTTTATTTCGTCTCTTATAATTTATCTTATAAATTTATTATCGATAATAATAATTTTTTTCTTTAATATCTATAATTCTTTTTAAAATATTTTTTACGTAAAATTTGAATAACAAATCTCTAAATCTCCGATGATCAAGTTATTGATTTGAAACATATATTATGAAAAGCAATTAATGGTTACAAACAATTTGGATTAGAGATGGTAAGATGCCATGTTTTTTGTATGGTCAAAATGATTGTTACAAGATACTGTCGTTGCATGTCTCAATCGACCAAGGTTGCTGTTTTCCCCCCTCTATATATGTTCAACATCTTTGCCTCGTTCAATCACGTGTATTCTTGATTTTATGATCCTGTCGGTCAATGATAAAGCTACCATTATTGTAATCTACACTTTTCCACCCCATAATTAGTGTTATTTATCACTCCAAATCTCTTATTTATTATTATTATTATTATTATTATTTATGAGATTTTTTTTACTGTAAAATGACCGTAATTAATTTTTTATATAAATCCAAATTCTACTGTGAATAAACCCAACTTCTACTGTGAGGAAAGGAGGAGGGTTCTAAGGAAAGAAAAAAAAATACTCTTAATAGATCTAAAACTTAAAATTTAAAAGAATAAAAAAATAAAAAATGAACCATTTGAACAACTAATTAAATATATTTATTCTTAATTGAAAATCTTTTGAATAATCAAAATTGATTGAACCCTATTTTCCTTTCAGAAATGACATAATTTTATTAATGGAATACTGCTGTCTGAAAATGAGATTTACTGCAACTTACTATTGTATTGGCATTAAGGCGGGATCCTACTACACGTTCCACGTGGGACCCCCAAACTTGATGGTGAAATCTTAAATTTAAGATGCGTCGATTTCACTTTAAATTGACTATTTTTTTTTAAAAATAAATGAATAAATATTATTCAAGAAATTGCAGCCTCTCAAGTCTAAGCTCAAGTGGGAGTGATAGTACTAGGAATGTTAGACATGTTCTGTACGTGAAAAATTAAAATAATGATTTTAAAACAATTATTTTAATGAAACGAATAGTTTTGTTAATGGATAGTATTTAAGATATCATTAGATTATTCTGTATATAATTTCTTTTTAAAAAAATTACAACATATTTTATTGTTTAATTATATAATTTTTTTAATCGTGGAGTGGTATTTGATATGTGAAATCAAAATCAATAAAAAATATAAATGAAAGTGAAAGGAGAAAAAAAAAAGGATATATTAACGATGACATCGATGTTGACACGTGAATATGCTGGGAAGTAGCACCTGTGGGGCCCAAATTTTGTGGTCTTAGCTTTGGCCCACTTTGATCCGGGAAGATCCGAGTTACCAGGTCGTGAATGATGAATCCTTTCGGAATTGCAAAATTCTCAATTGAATTTTCGACTACGAGAAAATTCCAATCCAAACATGATAGAGACTAAAACCAAACATTTAGAATGATCCCTGCAAAATTTTAAAATTTCCAATACAATTATGACATTTCTTTGAAAATTGATTTCCAACCCGACCTAAAATCATAAATTTATATATTAAATGATCGCAGGAATCAACAATATTAATTATATTAAGTTACATGACAACGGGTGGGAACGAGACATTACAGGGAAACACATGTGAGCAAGTCTTGTTCCACTATTTCCCACCTCTGCCTCAGCTCTCTCTAATTATTTGGTTAAGGGTCCCCTCTTTCTCTTAATTCCATAGTATTTAAAAAAAAAAAAAAGTCTCTCAATTTGTTTTAGAAAAACCACGTGCATCGATCGGATTCCTCTCATGAGTCATTAATCATTCTCTCTCCCTCGAGCTACTGCTACCCTTACAATTACATGCCGATGCCATATATATACGTACTTTAAAAACCTAAACAAATGCAGACCAATATTTAAATATAGACGACCATACAGAGGATCATAAACTTGGAATATAAAAGATATAAAAAATGATGCAGTTAAACATTAAGAGAAATGGTAGGAAGTGCTGTTTATGGTTATAGAAGGATTTGGCAGATGCAATGGGATTTGTTTAGATATCCATGACCATGACTCGCCCATCCATACGATGCCACAAATGCTTACAACACCCGCCATTATTTCTTCAAGAAAGCAATCGAGGTGGGTGGGTGGATGAGAAATTTTGGGTCATGTGTTTTTGTCACAGGGTAGCCACTCACAACCTGAAAAAGGTATCTGAACAAATTCCCCGGTTTGGAAAGTATGAAGTACCTGCTAGTTTTGTAGGATATGGAATTTAAGTATCTCTCATAATTTTACCTTTTAAGCCTAATGCCTAATGCTAACTTTAACCACCAAAAATCAAATTTCCATGAACATCTGCCATCTTCATAACGATCAATTTGCCTGATTCAAGACATAGGAGAAAATATGTATATATGGAAAATCCTAGGAACAGATTTCTCCTGAACTAAAATCTCAATGAAAATAACATCGATTAATGCTGAGGAAAAAATAATTATCTTCCCAAAAGAAACCGAATTACCCCAAATTTACAGCCAGGTCTTCGTTGTGACTATTTATTTACTATTAGCCTGCCTTTGATTAGGATAGCCTATGAGTATCTGGTACCGGGAACTCTGACGGCGCATCAGATACGGCTTGCCAGGCCGAAGCAGCAATGAGGGGGCGACTATGCCAACCCAGAGTCAAGTACCCGTCATTTTCTTCCACCGAATACCCTTCCGCCGAGAACAGTGTCAACAACATGCTAGCTTGCTTATACGCGTTGGACCCCAAATGTAATGGCCGGAATCCGGCGCCAGTCAGACGTATTCTCCACTTAGCCAACGGTTCGTGTCTTTCGACTCGAGCCGACCCTTCACAGCTCACCACGTTGGTTATTTCCCTTTGAATGTATATCTCGGCTAATGCCTTGTTCGGTTGAACTGTGCAAGCTTCTAAAGAATCGAACATCGTTGAATAATAGTGAAGAGCTTCAGTAAAACGGTATAGAAAACCTGGTTGGTTGTGGTTTGCTTCTTGTTCCACGACGGTCATGATTTTCGGGTTTAAGCTCCGGATCCAGTTCAAAACCGTTTCGATAGGGGCATTCCGGTTTGGATCAGAACCCAGTAAGCGGTGAAGCTGCATGATTGAATTAACTGCCACAGATTCTTTTGGATTCACCTGAAGCATCCACGGCTTAACGTCTTCGAGCCTGGAAGCCGCGACCCCGCGGAAAGCGAAGCGAACGTTGACAGACCGAGCCAACTCTGCAAGTCGCAACCCGACTTCGCGAAGCGAGTCACGGCCATCTGGCGATGGCGGTCCGATGCCGGTGAGACGAAGTAAAGGAGGTCCACCGGGACGTAAAGCGAGAGCTTGTATCAAAGCTGGCCATTGCAAGCCGTGCATCAAATTGAAATCCACCACGTGGACGCAATCATGACCGTCGAAAGCTTCGAGAATCGCCTGATTAGCAGTGAAGTGAGCGAATTTCAAGTACGGACATGCCTCGTAGAAATGGTGATACAAAATCTCGTTCTCATAAGCGGAGCCCCCGTTTATAGAACCGCCGCCAATACCTTGGAAAATACGACGGCTCAAAGCATCGATAAAATGTCCAGCAACTTTACCAATACCGCAAACGGTGTTAACACGTGTCAGTAACCCTTGCATGTCTTCCAGAAACGATGTAGCCAATGAGAAGTCTCCACATTGGACGCACTCTGCACACGTCATCAACATATGGACCAGCCGTATGCCGGAATCTTCTTCCATGGCCGTGACAACCGTTAACTGATTATTCAAATTTTGTTGCTCGTAAGAAACATTCTGGGGCACCAGCAGCATATTAGTCTCGGTGGTGGTCCAGGCGTCGTTTACCACAGTCTGATTTGTTACAGGATCCGTGACGAACTCGGCGGGGCAAGTAGGAGTCAGAGGAAACTCGGATAGGAGCGAGTCAACCCAGGAGGCGAGATCGGAAGGGTTATAGTGGATTGTATCAGAAGCAAGTTGAGATAAATCTGCGGGGGAATTAACCATTGCGGTTTCCAGCCTTTCAAGTCGCTGAGCTACTTTGCGTAGCTCGGATGACCTAACTTTATATCCAGCTCCGGCAAGATGACCATCAATATCTTGCCGCTGCTCCGGCTGCAACGGCGGCGGCTTGGAAGACGAGGAGGATGAGCTGCCGCTGCTACTCCCCGCTAACGTGGCGGAGTCGTACAACACCATGATTCAAACTTGTTCCTCTTTGGCACAAAAAGGAATTGAAATCCGAAAATAAATAAACAAGAGAGATCAATAAGTACACCCAGATTTTAGGGAGGAATAGAGTGAGCGAGTGTGAGCAGAGAAATGGATGAAAAAAGAGGTTTTAAAAATAAAATAAAAAATAAAAAGATGATCTTTTGAAATGAAATAAAATATAGAAAGTGAGAGAAATTACAGTGAATGGCATGTACTTGAGAAGATGAGGTGTATCTATCTGCTACTCGCATTTTTATTATTTCTTACAGTTAAACAAGTGGTATCCGCTTTTTTTTAATAAAGCATTAATTTTTTAAAAAATTATTTAAAAAAAAAATAGATTATAGGTAGTAGAATTGAAAGTGATTTAGATGTTAATCGAGAATAATTTTTTCTAAGAGACTGAACGATTATGTCAATCATGAATGTTTAAATAATATTAGAAATTTTATAATAAGATATATAATAATATTTGTACCGAAAATGACCTTTTAACCATATTGAAAGATTGATAAAGAAATTTATTAATTAAAGGAAGATCATTAATGAATACATTTTCAAGGATCGCCTATTATTATTTAATTAATTAGGTAAGAGCTACGTTTGTCTTTCCCATAGAATTATATGCACCCACTCATCAAGTCTCTGTTTCCACCTACAATTGTAGTTTATTGTTTAAATCTTTAGGCTCAAAAAGTATTTTAATTCTCCTCCATGCACAAAAAATCATTCAGTTAAGTTTTAAAACTTCAATTTTCTATACAGATAAATTTTTTATTATATCTAAAGAAAATAATAAACTGTTATAAAATAAAAGATGATAACTTAAACTGTTATAAATTTTCGATTTATACAAATTTAAAATGCTCCTCCAAATGTATGTTGAAGACACGCACTCAAAAAATTAGTCTCTCGATTCGTCGACAACATCACAAAAAACACACCTACCGTCAACACTTACCCTATTCGAGTTAATTTATCTTTAATCGATAGTCTCCCCAACATCGCCAATCACATGCTTTGGAGTATGCATTCCAGACCAGCTTGTGTCAGCCAACCCTGTCCCTCTTGACTCGAATCTCCTCTCAAATCATACGAGTAGAGACTCGCCTAACATCACTGTCACCTCGAACATCGAAGCCCTGACCGCACCAAGAGAAAAGATCTTCCTCAAATTCCAACTCGATGCCCTTAGCAGCCTCCATTGTCCAAAAATCTCTACCACAAATAATAATACCCCAACATTACAATAAATATATAATTATGATATATTCATATAATCATTAACATAAAAAACTAGTCACCTAAAAATATATAAGGGTCATACAAATAAAAAGTTAAATACTCATTTAAAAATACTTAAATAAGAGAGAAACATAAACAGATCTGATTGTATCCACAAACATATCACAAGAAGATATCAAATTATTAAAAGACCACAAACAATAGTAAATCAAAGTCGATCGTTATGAAAAAAAACTATCTCCAAACTAAAACTATGTATCCAAAACTAATATGAGCATCCAAAGCACAGAGATCAACAAGATACCAAATAAGCGACATCTTGATCAGTCAATGTATCTTTAAATCAAACTATGATAAAATTAAATAAAAAAAATTCAAATAACCGAAAATGTACCAAAAGAAAAAAACATATTATAAAGACATAATTATTAATAATTAAAAAACAAAACAAAAAAAATAAGATGCTATATATGCAAATAAAAATATAAAACATAAGTGGTCGATGACTAACATCAAGATTGATATCATCACTCAGTAGCGGATTCATAAATATTTTTTTAAAATAGAACACATGTATTAATAATGATTTTTTTTGTATGATATAAATACTAATAAAATTTTAAAATAAACAACATCAATAAAATAAATAATAAATATAAAAAATTCCGATTTAGAATCAGCACGCTGCCACCCTCAAGGACATACATTCACCGTTACCGTCACCTGTGAATCAAATAAAGAAAAAAAATAAGAATCAAACGGCTAAAAATGTTTTTTTTTTTAGTTTTACAACTTTAAAATTAAATTACTACTGTCTTATAATCAATAGAAATAATAGTTATGATTATAATATTAACGTAACAGTTAATAATTTTGATATAATATTTTATAAATTTAATATGATAATTTATATATAAATAATAATATGGTAGAATAATTTATTTGATATACTTTTAGAAGATTTAAAAAGTTATTTGAAAATAAATTAAAATTATTAAAATATTGAAGAAAAAAACCTTTTGAACTTTAATTTGAGTATATAAAAATTTTAAATTTAAAAATTTAAAGAATGAAAAGAAATTATAGAGGAAAACACAAAAGAAAAGACGAATATTTCACTTTAAGAAATGCGTCAGAATAATACATAACACGTCATTGTTAAAATAATAATAATAATAATAATATATCATTTATCCATATCTGTATAAAAAGTTAAAGAGTCGATCAACTTTGTGCTATTGGACATATTAAATTATTTACTCGATGTGTAGTATCCCTTTAGTTTTGTTAAGTTTTAATTAATAATTCAATAAAAAAATAAAAACAACATAAAATATTAATTTAAATTTTATTTAATATTATAATTTAAATATATTAAAGAAAAATTTATGAAAAAAACTTTTAAAAATCAAGATTTAAATCTTAAAAGGATTTAAACAATAAATAAATATATTAAAATTTGATTATTATAATTTAAAACTATTTTGATTTAAACCTAATTATTAGGGTGAGCAAAGCGTTGGTGCAAAGAAGAGAGAAATAACAATAATTAATAAGAAAAAGATGAAAATATTCGCTGTCTGTGAGGTAGCGATGGATTAAAGAAGTATAGTTTGGAGTAATGGAGACACGAGAATTGTATATGTGCAACTTGCTTGTTTGATATTCATGTAATATGGGGGCAAGTAGCATTGGCTCAAAACAATAAACCATCAAGGGAGGAGGCATGCCATTTAATATTCGTGCTTATTCCTTCCTAAGTCCTAACTCCTTTCTCAATTGGAAAGTAATGAGACGTTACTTACAGAGCCTTAAAAATATGGAGTGGATCCCATCCATTAAAGAGAGAGGCCAAAGCTGTGATGTGGTCCAGTTGATAACATGGAATTTGGGACCAGTTTCCGAACCCCCAAAATCGAATTAAGACAACATTAATAGAAATACACAATTATGGTTGGGACCGGCCAAAGCAAATAACAAATGCATTTTCCTGGAGATAACATGTTGTGTTTGGTTCAGACACTCAAGTTGTGTGTCCCATTCCGTTCTTTTGGCTGACACCGTCACGTTATTGTTCGTATCCCCCTCGTTTTTATTCCCCCACGTGATTCATCAAACACAAATCACCCCAAAACAAATCCCATTATTTTATAACAAACCCTTCATGCTCTAAACCATCTTCTTCTTACCAACATTTCAAGGCCTTTGTTAAAAACAACTTATACGCTCCACTCTTCCAATTAATTTCAGATATCAACAACAAAATATTATTTATGTAATATCTAAAATACTATCGCGTATCGATTATGACCTTTAAAATGTTAAAATAACAATAATAAGATTATTTTAAAAATCGACAACAATGATATTGCATTCTCAGTCACTACTCAAATCACCGGCTTGAAATTCGTCCCCCACCATTCAGATTATGGAGACATTTCTCGAAAGCTTTATTTATGTGTTCAGCCTAGCTTGTGAAAGGACTGGATCCGAAACAATGATTCGGGTATTAACTTGATCTCGGATCACATGGACCCAATGGACCAAAAACAATATTTTTAAAAGCATTTATAACTAAATTAACTGTCTTTTGAGTCTCCGAAGATAAACAATCCCACTCGCAATCAATAGATAAACATATTATCTTCCATTGAAAATCACTTGCTTCTTCAATTTTTAATCAAAATTATTATCCAACGATTGGATGAATTTCCTCAGATATTATATTAACATTATTTCATGTTCGTTCTGTTTATACAGAGGACAAAAATGAATGAAAATGATTTTTTTTTAAATCTAATAGTTGAGCTACAAAGTACGACACTCGTAGGTTAACAAAATTTTCATCCTTCATATCAAACAAAGTCGATCAGAAGACTTAATTTCAAGAATAATTAAAGAGAGAATGAGTGTATTAATACAGGTAGAGGTGAGTCACGCTGTTTGTAATTGTATGAGCGTAATCATAAATCTCACATTGATAGAACCGAGACACAAAATACACATGTTAGTGTGACCGTGACTATTGATATCATTAAGGTGTGCCATTCAGGTCATGATTCAGTGACAACAAGCGTTTGCAGAATGCCTGTTTACCGCATCACAATCTTCTGGCTGATTCACCGATGTGCTCTTGGGTTCAGTTTTGGAAAATGGCTCCACTATCCTGAAATAATTCCCATCCCGCAAGGCCATTGACAAATCTAAAAATTTAAAAATGAGAATCCAAAAAATTTAATACTCTTTTCTTTAATAAAATGGGTATACACAATTTTTTTTATTTCCTTAATATACTGAATTATATTAAATAATTTATCTAAAATAATGGGTATGCACCTGGCTCCCTAGAGGGCCAAGTGCATCCGCCCCTGCACAAGGCCGAACTTGAAGCACCTGACAGAGCCATTGCGGTACCTGAGCTTCCAGGTCTCGCTAAAAGAAAAAGCACGGCTAAAAAGAGACCTCCTGTCCACCACCCTAGCCGACTAAAGAGGAAGCGGAAAGATTAACCAAATGGGAATGCTTTCATTCAAATCACTGTTGAGTAGAATGAGACAGTAGCACACAGCCACCAAGAAATTCAGACCCTATAATTAAACACTCGAAGTCCTTGAAATATAAAGGTAATCCTCAAGATTATCCATTTTTATTGTCCCATTGGGGCATCACCACAAAAGGGGTATGGGATTAACACATTCTGCCAATACCAACTAAAACTAATCAGGGTGTCCTCTTATGAAAGTTTAGAGAAATAATGAGAAAAATACAAGTAAATAGAACATGGCTTGCAGTTGGTACTCTTATGCATTACAAAGTGAACTAGCAGAAAGTTCCTAAGACCAATGGTGAAATGACAGAAACCATATT